TGAAGGCTTGTTTGACTGGCAACCAGTCCACGATGCAACCCGCATCTTGCCCAAAGTCAGGTGGGAAAAAGAATTGAGACCCTTTCTCAATTAAGAACATACTCATCACATTTTCCAGTTGAGTTGTTTTTCAACAACACAAAAATCCCTTTCGAAAATATTGCTAAATGCAAATGAAAATGATAAAACACTAGCACGGGGCTTCAAAGACGTGTGAGACAATATTATGTAGATGAGCTCTCCGTAGACTGACGTTATAAAATAGGCGAATCAATCAATGTCAACGTGTAGACTAAAGATCAGCGGCATGTTAACAGAAAAGAACATTTGCTCACTAAAATAAGCTTCTTATAGTCCAATTCCAGTAACTCATGGACAAAAACATAAAAATGGACCGTTTTCATTCGTCACAGGCTCCTAAATGAGAGAACCGAATCATAGAACTATCGCTCAGTGTCACAGAGTGCAGTTCTGCTCCAGTACAAAGTGTAAAAGCTACACGACACGTATTGTGGGACTAACCAGAAATAAGAGTTAAAAAATTCAATTTGAGAAGGTAGGCTCTTAATTGTAGTGGATCTCCTTCGATTGAGCGGGTCCGCTTACTGTTTAAGGCAACAGTGGCAAGCGAACAGTTGATCAAAGAGACGCGTCAAGAAGGAAAAAAAAAGGGGGGAAAAAAAAAAAAAAAAAAAAAAAAAAAAACACAACCCAAAAAAAAAAACCAGACAACAGCCAGTGCGTGGACCTGGGCATTGGCACTTTAGAGCGCCTTGTTGTTGTCACAGCGTGGAAAAGCCCGGCGATGACCTGGTTGCACATAGAAAGACGGAAAAGCAAGGAGAGGAAAAGTAAAAAAACAAAACAAAAAAAAAACACAACCCAAAAAAAAAAGACAACAGACAGTGCGTAGACCTGGCCATTGGCACTTTAGAGCGCCTTGTTGTCACAGCATGGAAAAGCCCGGCGATGACCTGGTCATATGTGTTCCACCAACTGGAGTCTTTAAGTGGATATATTTTCACTGCTCAAACAGTAGCAATGTGTCGGCATGAGACGGATGCGAGGGGCGTGGTTTTAGCGCACTCAGCGCTGACAAGAACGGGGACAATAGCCTGATTTTCAGGATTGAGAAGCCTCGTTTTATAGACTTGATGATGTTTTTCGCAATCTGTTTTTTCCTTGACAATCGCACCAAGTTTTTGTGGTTCAATTAAAAATGATTTACTGTGTGTGGATCCTCAAAACCTGATAAAGGGTTGCTGTTTTTTCCATTGCAGTGCATCGGTAATGGTACACAATCACATGGTGTGTGGTGAAAAATCGCCAACTGCAATTTTTTTTCCACAATGATCCAATTCAATCACATTAGGCTGTGTCGCTTGGTGTGCGTTGGCCTTGGGTTAACTGAAGACTCAAAGGTCTCCATGCAGGTTTGATTACCGGTATGTCTGTGAAGGCTTGTTTGACTGGCAACCAGTCCACGATGCAACCCGCATCTTGCCCAAAGTCAGGTGGGAAAAAGAATTGAGACCCTTTCTCAATTAAGAACATACTCGTCACATTTTCCAGTTGAGTTGTTTTTCAACAACACAAAAATCCCTTTCGAAAATATTGCTAAATGCAAATGAAAATGATAAAACACTAGCACGGGGCTTCAAAGACGTGTGAGACAATATTATGTAGATGAGCTCTCCGTAGACTGACGTTATAAAATAGGCGAATCAATCAATGTCAACGTGTAGACTAAAGATCAGCGGCATGTTAACAGAAAAGAACATTTGCTCACTAAAATAAGCTTCTTATAGTCCAATTCCAGTAACTCATGGACAAAAACATAAAAATGGACCGTTTTCATTCGTCACAGGCTCCTAAATGAGAGAACCGAATCATAGAACTATCGCTCAGTGTCACAGAGTGCAGTTCTGCTCCAGTACAAAGTGTAAAAGCTACACGACACGTATTGTGGGACTAACCAGAAATAAGAGTTAAAAAATTCAATTTGAGAAGGTAGGCTCTTAATTGTAGTGGATCTCCTTCGATTGAGCGGGTCCGCTTACTGTTTAAGGCAACAGTGGCAAGCGAACAGTTGATCAAAGAGACGCGTCAAGACAAATGCCCAATAAGGAAGAATGAACACATTCCTTTTCATTTGCTTCCTTCCTAACTTCTTTCCTTCCTTCCCTCCTTCTGTCCATCACTTCCTTCCCTCCGTTGCCCCCCCCCTCCCCTCATGCGCTGCTCTCTCAATCTCACTCCCTCTCTCCCTCTTTCCCTCTGTGAAGGTCATGCAATTGATTTTGCTCTGTCTATTCATTTTTCAAGACTGGCTTTGAAACGTGGGAAGCAGACAAAAGCCACAGTGGCCCCTCCCCTCTCTTCCTCTAGCTTCCTTCCTTCCTTCCTTCTTTCCTTCCTTCCTTCCTTCCCTTGGCTGCATCTCACCCATTCCAAAACCCTTGGACTAGGGGGATCGTGAAGGAATGTGAACCCCCCCCAAGCCACTCTCTCTCTCTCTCTTTGTACCTTTCTTCTTTCTTCGTTTGTCCCGTCCCCTTATCGTTCTTCTCCTCCATTCACACGCGTTCCGGCCACATTCCGCTTATGGAATTAAAGTCATGCATCACACTTAAAACTCGGCCAATGCATTGTGGGTAGCTATGTTCAAGCTGATGTCCAAATTAGCATGGCATTTTCAGCGTGAGTGTGTGGCCTGATGTCTACCGTCTAAAAGAAACAACAACAATATTGAACATTTTTTTCACGTCAATATACAGTAAATACTTTGCCATTAGGTATATTGTGAGAACCACAATATATATATATATATATATATATTTGCAGAACAAAATTCAAAAGAATGAATCTAATATGAGCATGCAAGTCTATTGCCAACGTTGGAAACAGTATACCGGTAATTGTTTGTAGTCTGAGGCCAGCTCCTCCTTTATTTTGGGCTGCAATGTTCCTGATGGTAATTTACAACGGTATAAAGCTTGCAGCTGAAGCCAAGATTGCTTCAATATTGAGTATATGTGTACACTTTCATCTTGCCGTTTCAGATTAGTGAGTCGTCTTTTATTGGCTAGCATCCCCGTCCTGCCCCGCCTCCTAATCTGTACACTGACTCAACACAAAAAAAACGTTTACTTGTATTTAACAACATGGCCACCTGCTACCTTTGAGTCCCAAAGCACAAAAACAGTAAATTTTGCATCATTCTAACCAGACTCATCATGGGGTTGTCGCGAGGATTTAGCGTATTGGGTCGTCAAACCAAAATTATGTCTCATACTGGAACTATTTCCATAATTTTGAGGGGTTTTTCTATTACAAGCCCGCGCCGAACGTAGACAAATTGGTACCCGAAAGTAGACTTGACTTTAGATAAATGCTAAGCAGGTCTAAGTTGTGGCACAACCAGTGTATGTTAATCGAAGCGCAGGCCTCCACATTCTGCGCTCAGCTGATATGTGTGATAGATGAAACCGTATCAAACCCTCTGAATCATTGAACAGCTCAATACATCGAATGCATTATGATCGTCACAGACCTTAAATCAACCGGCGCACGATCAGGGGACGGAAGGCAGTCTCCAAGTGCCCACTTTACAGCGGCCAACATGAGAACTTCTTCTGCTTGCATGAAACCCGACCGATTTCTTGCTAGAACACGGACATCATCGCTGTCGTACAACAAACTCCTAAGTCCACTTTCTTACTTTTTTTTCGATCGATGAGCGGTCAAAATAGTACAGCTGAGTTTTCAGTTGAGAAAGAACATATTTTGCTCAGATAGACGCGTAAAACACAAAGACATCCAGATGTCAACTTCCGCTACTAAATAATTGACAGTTGTGTTAAAAAAAAAAAAAAAAACGCACAAATATGAACTACACGGTTGACACTGAACAGCGTCAACACGCATGCTGAAATTGAATCATGTGTGCAATGTTAATATTATTTATCATCACAGTTGCCTAAAGGGAAAGTCTGAAAGTACTTGAGCATATAAAGTCAATACTGTGAATAGTTTGGTTTTTCAACTGTGAAGAAACTGCAAATAAATGCAACGTGGACATGAAGGTAGTCTTGTCTCAAAGTGTCCTTTCCCGGGCCGCGGCCGATCAATCCTTCGAGCCTCAAGAGCCCCTTTAACACAGCCGGCATATTGACACAAGCATCCATACCCGACCAAACTTATTACACTGTTAAAGCCATTATGTCTTATCTGGAACACACGGTGATCTTATTGTGGTTTGGTCTCACTCACACACACACACACACACACACACACACACACACACACACAGAGCAAAAAACATGCATGCAATTAGCATCGGGATTTTTGTTCCATTTTTTTTTTTTTTTGCCAACATATTTTTTTTTCCCCAAATTAGACAAGAAAAAGTCACACACACACACACAGACACACACGAAAACACGCACCTCTAATTGTATTGTATCTGCACGGTTTCCCCTCAGTAATACTAGCAATTAGACAGGCTGTGTAATTACGCTGTCCTTGTTATACAGTTAATTCCTGTAATTACAAAACGCACCAATAGTCTCCCCTTTCTTTGTGTGCCGTGCCGCACGCAAACAGATAGGAGGACGCCTATGGAAAGTCTTTGTGTGATTAAAATGCATAAGCACGTGCGTGTTTTACAGGCTTGTGAATGAGCGTGTGTGTGCGTGTGTGTGCGTGTGTGTGTGTTGAAATGCAAAACAATATTAATGGTGTAGGAAAACAGATGACTGAAAATGATCCCGGTCCAAATCCTTCTGTTGGGGGTGCAGAACAGATGCTTTGTCACACTCGTCATCGTGTGGCTAGCCACGACATGAGGGACACAGACAAATGGGATCCAATACATAGGTGCGCTTCTCTCTGACGACGCGATAAACAATCTATTCTAAATGCATTCCATCCGTGTTGCTGTCAATCAACTAAAACGGTGACCAAGGAGAAGCCGCAATTTGAAAACAACGGTACCTCACCTTTGCTGCAGTTGCTGTCTCCCTCCAGCAGGGGGCTCCAGGGCGGGTCCCCCTGGCTGGCAAAGGCGCGCATGTGTAGGTAACTGATGGTCAGCCGGATGACCGAGGCCTTGTCCAGCTGGCTGGTGATGGCGCCGGGCAGGGGCAGCATCTTGGCCAGCTCAAAGAACTCAAAGTTCTCCTTCCCGCGTCTCGACCGGGCCGCATTGCGCGACTTCTCTTTGCGTAGGTTCTGCAGACTACATAGTGGGAGGTAGGAGAATGGAAGAAACGAAAGAGATGAAAAAAAGGGTGCAAAAAAAAACCCCAAAACGTGTGCAGCACAGTGATACAGAGATAGTCTATACACCCCTGTTCAAATTTCTAAAAAAAAGAAACCTCAAACAAACAAATAAGATAGACCATTTCAAAACTTCTTCCACAAAAAGTTATGACATAACCTGTACAATTTTTTGTAAAGAGAAGTCAAAATAAACAACTGAGAAAATGTGATTGCAAAAGTATGCACACCCTCTTATTACTGATGATGTGGTGTTGTTTAGAATGAACTAATCACATCAAACTCATCAAGATGAATAGCATACACAACCTAGCTGTCTTCGGGCACGAGGCGGGGGACACCCTGAACCGCAGGGCACACAGACGAACAACCATTCGCGCTGACACTCACACCTCAGGACAATTTAGAGTGTTCAATCACACACATATTTTTGGAATGTGGGGGGAAACCGGAGTACCCAGAGAAAACCCACGCAGAACATGCAAACTCCACACAGGGAGGCTGGAGCCGGGATCGAACCCACGACCTCTGCACGCGCTAACCACTGGACTACCAGGCCATCCGAATACAAAACAATAAAATGAAAAACAAAAGGCACAGCAGTAACCGAGCATTCCTCATGGCGCGTGATTGGTTACGCTCTCCAAACTTCACTATTTAGCCACAGGTACTTATGAAATTATAAATAGAAACGAGTATTGCGAGGGGTGTGACAAAAACGATTCGAATCTAATCACTGGATTTCCAAATCGTTGCATCCTTGAATCGTATTGCAATCCTCGTCTCAAGATATGTGTTGAATTGTCTTTACTGAGCAGTGTACACCAGATAGATATTTGACATTGCTTTCTTTGAATTGAATTAACTTGGATAGTTTGGGCTTTGGAGAGTTTTTACGTGTTGGATATGAATAAACATGACAAAAGAGACAGACGAACCACATGAAATCAACTCGAAATCCCGCTGAATTGAACCAAATCGTAATATCATTGAATCGTACCGTACCACATGCATCGAGAATCTTATCTCACCGTCTTTTGTGAAGAGATGCACATTTCTTTCAAAATGATTTCTCAAAGACGAAGAAGTATATTTGTAGCTTTTGTCATATTCTCTTAAGAACACGTAGAAGCTCTCCAAATCCCAAAATAATTCACGTTAATTCAGTTACGAGAAACAGCAAGTCAGCAACATCAAACTGATTTATCCCGATTTGTATCGTAACTTTTGGATTGGTTTCTGGATGGTTAAAGCTGTATGGACACCGATTCATTAGGTCGTGTACTGATGCTGTCACATCTTTTGGATCAAAACCAATGTTGCGATTTAAATCCGTTTTTGTTATCCGTGTACCCCGAATAGAAAGATAAACTGGATCCCGCATCACACCTGTAAATGTAATTTTTGTTGTGAAAGCTCATGCCATACGACATAGCAATTTTGATTGGCCGTTACATCTGCAAAAGTGGTGGTTGACACTCGCTCACTCGCTCACGTCGCTCGGTGTGCGGCAAGCTTTACCCGTGAAAACACACAAGGCAGAAAAAAACACGTGTGCAGAGCACCTGTTGATGGAACCGCACTCAGGATAAACGAGAGACGGGCCTCCGCGTCAATCCGAAAGCTCATCTCGTAAATACGTGGAATGGTAATGGCTATGCTGCAATTCAAGTGAAACAATCTGTATTGTGAGCCATCTCCAGCAGATTGGCCTGGTAATTACAGACAAACTCTTTTCTTCTGTCTACCACGGCACAGTCCTAATAATGCCATTCGCTTCCAAATCCGTACGTGCTCTCACACACACACACACACAAACACACACACACACCTCACTTTCCCTCCCACTCTGGCTCGCTCTCATCTGGTCCTGGGCTTGTGAGCCGGGGACCTTGATTGAGGGATCAATAGGAGAGGGAGGTGCGTAGTGACAGAAAGGGTGAGGGGGATGTCGGCGGGGCCGGGCTCAGATAGCCTGTCTCTCTGATTGGGTATTGACTCTCCACAATGAGGCCTGAGCGCTGGAATTATGTTGTCACCGCCACTTCACAATTTGTGTCGCCGTTGTGCACGGGTCTAAAGCGTGTGTACGCAAGTGCGTGGTGAGCTCTCGTCCCTCACCGGTGTTGATTCTTATCCCCCTGCGAGTGCGTGTGTGCTGCACATTGTGTTTGTTTGTACCTCGGCAGAGTGACAGTGGTTGCATTTCTCCTTGCTATTGTCTAATAGGTATAAATAGCGTGTTCGGGTATGTCAGCCCCTGTAACATCTCATTATTATACAGCCACGACCCCAGACACAGAGAACAATCGATACACACACATTGATTCTGCTTAGTTTTTATATCCGCCCGTAACTGACTGCCCATTAATAATTCCTGCCAAATGTACTTAATCTCTTACCAAAGGGGTGGAGATTGGCGGCACGGGCGCGCGATTGGCAGGTGAGCAACACTACATGTTGTCTTCTCTAGATTGTGTTGCATCAATAGAGTTTGTTTTCCACGTGTCAGTGAGTCCATTTCACCTTGTGCAGATGAATTCATAGACATGCGCCAAAGCTTAAATGGTATCAACCAGTGTGTGCGTGCGTGCGTGCGTGCGTGCGTGCGTGCGTGCGTGTGTGTGTGTGTGTGTGTTGTCTCACCAGGGCAGTGTAGGAGGCTTGGCCAGAAGTCCTTGCAGGAAATCCCACTCCACGCTAACACACTTCCCCTCACTGACAAACGGCATGGTGGCCATCCTTCCCCCACTCTGGCGCCCACACCGCTCTTAACGAAGGCTCTGATTGGCAGGCGATCTTATAGACTCGGATCTGGATTTCCTGAAAAGGAGATGATGATTTATTATTCATTTTTGATAAAGGAATTTTGAGATCGAAGGAAGGATGATGGGGAAAAAATACTACTAAGCCGTAAACCAATCAAGTAAAAAACAGTCATCCCGATGTTAAGTGAGTGCGCTTTCTTGTGCGGAATAGTCGCTGTTGGGCAGAAACCTCGTACAGTATACCCAAAGATGGACAATTTCATTTTGTCAACAATAACTCATTCATTCATTCATTCATTTTCCGAACCGCTTTATCCTCACAAGGGTCACGGGGGTGCTGGAGCCTATCCCAGCCGTCTTCGGGCAGTAGGCGGGGGACACCCTGAACTGCTTACCAGCCAATCACAGGGCACACAGAGACGAACAACCACCCGCGCTCACACTCACCTCTAAGGACAATTTTGAGTGTTCAATCAGCCTGCCGTGCATATTTTTGGAATGTGGGAGGAAACCGGAGTACCCGGAGAAAACCCACGCAGGCCCAGGGAGAACATGCAAACTCGACACAGGAATGCCGGAGCCTGCATCGAACCCACGACCTCTGCACTGTGAGGTTGACTCTCTAACCACTGGCCCACCGGGCCGTTCAATTCATTATGTGGTCTTTACTTATTTATGTATTTATTTATTTATTCCAACCAATTATTACCCAATCTAAAGTTTTCAAAATTTCATAACTTTCTTGGACACATCAGCCATCTGACAAGTGACGTTCACCTTTTCTTGACTCCGCGGAAGCCTCGTGCTACTACTTCACTTCAAGAAAAACCAGATTTATTTATTTATTTTTGACAAAAACAAGTGAAAATAAAATACAATAGAAAGCAGAGTGCAGATTAATTTCTGACTATGACACTCTCTGGGCAGGTCTAATCTAACGATGCGGTGTTTGGTAACTCAAGGAAGATGTCATTTCCTGAAAAGCATTGGTTTTGAAGATGCAAGGATTCTGCCTGACAGCTGGAATACACGTACGCCACTGCATGTACTAGTTCATTGCAGGATTTTTCAAACTTTCGAACAACGTATGATGGTACTGGCGAAAAGTGAAGACCCCAAATATTTTTTATCTGAAAACGATTGGATTTCAGAAAAAGCTTCTGAACAAGAAATGCATTTTCACCTGCAGCCAAAAACGTCAAAGCTTAAAAAACAGCGATAACAATGAGCCTCACTGAAGTCCCAATCATACATGTCCATCGTGAAACATCTTCAAGATGAACTGCATTTTCTCCCACCTTGTGCCCATAACAGCATACCTCCTACATCCCAAGTTACCGTCTTCATCCCCCCCTCGTGCTGTGTTGACATTTAAAGGGCTCACGTGGCCCCGGGCGCCATGGTGTCATGCCCTTGGGCCTGAGATACCCTCTCTCGTTCTCACTCTACACTGTGACCGAGCTGGATTAGCCCAATACAGTAAGAGCAGCTACGCGAGATTGACAGTCACTGGAGCTGCACTAGCCAACACTGAAATATATGCATGACAACTTCTTGGACCGCGTTCAAATACAGCAGAGTCAAATGGATTGGTTGTTGAACAGGGACGTTGGGTCATTGGCTGACTTCCAAATGTTCATTTGACATCCCCGCGTCTCCTTAGTTCATTTCAATCCATACATAGATCCATATGTGTGCACAGTGTCTATGCGGTCGCAACATTCCACTGAGATGAATACTTAGACCGTTTCCACCAATCATTTGAGGTAACTGGGTGTGGAAAAAAAATATTTAAAAACTGTAACCTGCACACTTTCTCGCAGGCTATTGTCGCGGTACCAACCACATATTGTAGGTAGAATACCTAAGGGGTGGAATTAGATGCTTGCTGCTGATTGGTTGGCAGGGAATCAACGGTAATGAAAGCAAAGAGTAATATCTGAGACAATAGAGTGGAATCTGATATAAAATTGGCCGATGGCCAGCGCGGGGTTGAACCTGTCTCTCACGCAAAGCCCAGATGGCAGAGGCTGCAGCTCACCTGCGACCCTTATGAAGATAAGCACTATAGAAAATGGATGGATGGATGGATGGGTGACACTATGCTGCACTGGTATGATGTCATGATATTTACATCATAAAAATACAAGTCAGACCAAGGTACACAATTTGACAGGACAGTATAAGAAACTGAACTGTACCGCTTTGTCGAAAAGAAACGCCTACAGAAAATTCAAGTATATGATATTACAACTATAACCGTGGTGAGATAGACAAAAGCCACAAGTGATGGTTTGGGGTTAAAAAACAAAGTCATTGGCAGAAATCATTAGCCTGGAATCAAAAGTGGGTGACTTAAGACACAGGTCCAACATGTGGTATAACTCAGGCCAGTTCAGTTCACAGGATGTTACGAGACGACAATAAATGTAATTGGTACAATGCAGCGCAAACAAATAACGCAGCTCCTTCCCGCTATCATCCAACATCTTTTCATATCAACATTTTCTTCCCCATTCAATAAACTCTACTCTAAGTGGGACGGATAAAAATGTCGACAACATTGTGTCTAACTTCAACCGTGGTCAAGATCTCAACAGCTGGTTCAGGTGGAGCTATTTTGGACCCTTTACAATGGATTGCAATGTGGATTGCACTCAAGTGAGTGAATTTGCTTGACGGAAATGGGGTTATTTCAAAGAAAGAAAAGATTGAAAGAAAAGGTGGTGCGTCACAATATCAATCCAATCTCCAGCCTATCTTAGGTGACGTTGGGCACGAGGCAGGGCAAACCCGCGACTGGTTGCCGGCCTATTGCAGGATACTACCATTGAACAATATCTACTTCCATGAACAAAACTTCACAACGGCTGAATCTTTGTGTTGAGCATGGAAAACATATTGATCTCTGTACTAGTCAGTAAGTCTTTGGTTTACCACCGAGTTCCATATCTACGGTGGCCACATAATTGCCATATCGAATGTGGAGGTCAATCAGTACGCTCCATAATCTATGACTAATTTAAAAGTCATTAGAACAGTAAACTCCGAAGCCGTATACTCTACATATAAAACAAGCAAATAAAAATCATTAAGTACGATGATACCGGAACATGTCTTCTTGTGCAGAGTGACGACGTCTTGCCACATCCCCGTGAAGACGAGTTCACCTCATGTTGTCTGGAACCTTGAACCTCTCGTATGTCGGGACGGTTGCAAAAAGACGAATATACAGACAAACAGATTCTATTGGCTTTACCGTATAGATCCTTGCACCCTGATGCCTCATGGACTTCCAGGTTGGAAAAGCCCAAGTGAGCTCTCATGCCCCAATGAGTAAACGCACCCTTGCATGTCATTTGACCAAGTAGAGCGATTGAGAAACCAGGGTACAAAGCCCCCGATGGCTATGTTAGCCTTCTCCTCTATTGCCGTGGTTCAAACGTGTGAAGTGACAGTCGAAAAGATGTTCCGTGAGGAAAATTGCTTCGAAGTGAGACAGAATTGACATTTCTTCAGATAAATTGACAGAAATTTACACATAATAAACATGGCCATTGAGGGACTATCTTTGGCTACTATGTCTCGATTATCTTCTCTGTACAACTACTCATGACATCCACTCAATTTATCCTCTTCACCCACAGTTTCCAAAACTTTTGGGGTAAACCGGGTAGACCAACAGCAAACACAACGACTTGGTAGCTTAAGTCCGTGTTTCACTTCAGGTCAGCTGTGGTCAACCATTTTCTGCCACCTGGTAGCACTCTGGTGCCTTTTGTTGATCAGATTTGTTAGACAAAACCAATTCTGTTATTTGTAGAAGGAGGATGAGTGGTTTTCAACCAAAGGGTCTCAGTTTTACTTTTGCGAAACTGGCATGGGATACACCCATCAACTGACGTAACCCAAACCCCAACATCTACCCTGAGGTACCCCTTTCAATGTGTTGCTAATGATGTGTGCTAGTTGTGTTCACTATTGTGACAGCTAAACTGCAGAGGTCAGCATTATTTGAAGAGTAAAGTCCTTTCCGAGGACTCTTACATTACATCCTGACTAACTTTGAAGGCTTTTTTTTTTGTGCTCGTTGGTCACCATGATTATTGGACTATTTCTCATTGAGCGTCCTGTCCTGTTTGCTGGAGGGGCGTCGGGGTCAAGCGGCGGGAAGCGCTTCCCCGTCGAACAACATTCACCTTTGTCACCTTCTCTATCTCACCGGGATAAACGCTCATCAAGTACTGTAAGAGGGAGATCAGAGAGAAGAGAGTTTAATTTGAGCACCTCACAAACACAAGCGCAGACTTTTCCCATTAAATCTTCATCTTGTTTATCTCCTAATTGACCTTATCTCTGCTTATCTAATCTCTCGCTCCATCTTCCTGTCCCGCACAATCTCTCCCATCTCCCCAATTCTATCCGGGCAGTCACATCGGCGTAATGGACAGAGGGCCTCCGCAGGTAATTATTCAATCAGCCTCATAACCTTGTGGCGGTTTGGGCGGCCCATTAATGCACTCACCCAAATGGAGCCGGCCACTTTGACTGCTAATCCGACGGAACAGCAGAGTGGGATGAATGTCAGCGCTGTCGTCTGGAGAGCGGTACAATCTGCTGCTATACGCGGCCGTGTTATTCCGTAAAAGGAAATATTTGGGAGGGGAGACTTCATGAAGCGGTCGCAGGTAGAATATGTCTTTTGCCAACAGCTGTCGAGATCAACCCTTACATGTGTGACCGCAGGTGTTTCCAATGTGTTGTCGGGACTGATACATATTCATAAGTGTGATGTGCACGCGCGTGCGTGACCCTATAGAGTCGCCCTCTCTTGGTACAGTGGCGGCAGCGAGAGAGAGGCGAGGGCACTGCGGCGAGCTTTCGCAGGCGCGCGTCGCGCTGGCTTCTCGCTTTGGCTCAGGCTCTTGTTTATTTTCTGCAGGGACGTTTTAATTAGGGCCTCCAGCTGTCAGAGGTTCGTTAGCGCGCCCCTCCTCTCCTCGGGCCGGCCCACCCCGCGGGGAGGCGGCGGCATCAGGCAAATGAACACATTTG